GGGCCGGAGCGCCCGGCCTGCGCCCTCCCCCCCGCCCGGTCCCTCTTGCTGCCTCGTCGGGCTGTTCCCGACGTGTCCCCTCCTGCTCCACCAACCCCTGCGCGCCGGGAGCCCCCGAGCTCCCCGCGCTGCCCCCAGCGCAACGCGCAGCCGGCCGAGGGTCACAGGGCCCTGGGGAGGGAGAGGGCACCCGGCTCCGCACTGTCACCCGCTGCGGCGCGGGCCTGGATTCGGGAAGCTGCAGGGATGTGGGAGTCTTTGTGCAGGAACCTCGGCTGCTTTGGCCTCCGGACACTGGCAGCCCCGCAGGCCAGGCGGCCCCAGGGGCTGCACAGGGGCAGCGGCCCCAGGGGGCACCCAGTGGGTCCCCGAGCCGGGGTGGGCTGGGAGCACATCCAGGCGCGGAGCTGGGAGCGCATCCAGGCGCGGAGCCGAGCCGGGGCAGGGCCCTCGCTGTCAACCCCCTGGGGGGGACTTTGACCCCCTGCTTCAACACTTCAGTTTGATAAGTAGCAAAACAGCACACACAGCAAAAAAAACAAAAAAACAAAAAAAGAGGTGGCAAAGCCGGTCCCACCAGGCTGCGTCCAGCACCCAGGAACAGCGAATCCCTCGGGACAGCCGGGCGCCCCGGAGCAGGGGAAGCGGCGCCAGGCAGGGCGGGCTGCCGTATCTGCGGACGTCTGAGCGCAGATGCAATTATATGCACTGCTTCATTTATTTGGCTGTCCAGTCGTGCTGATCAGACTTGGAAATTAAGAGGCATGCGGTTAGAGGGATCCTGTCAAACTGCATTTAGCCCAGTTCTCGCCGCTTGTGTTTTGAAATGTGGCTTTTTAAAATTTTTATTTATTTGTTTACATGCCCCACAGCTACAAAACATCTTCTCTTCTTGGTAAATAAGGAGGAGAAAAAACAAAAAACGTAATCTGGCAAAAATGGGCGAGAGTGAAACCAATTCCCGGCTGCGCGAGCTCCACGGCTGCGCAGCCCCTGGTGCCACCGAAGCCTCACGTCGGGCACGGGGACACGGGCAACTCGTGGCCTGAGGAGGGCGGTGAGGATTTTGCAGGATTTGCCAACCGGGTTGGGGGCAGAGGGAAAGCTCCTCCGGCCGCAGCCCGCGTGGCCGTCACGTGCAATGCGGGTGCCTATCTCGGCGCACGCCTCCCTGTGCGGGGCTGATAAGGCCCCGCGGGTCCATGCGGAGCCGTCCTCCCCACCTTGCGCCGCGGCGTTCCGGGAAGGGAGCAAAGGGCGATTCCTTCCCTGCGTTTGCTAAAGCATCCTCAGGAGGAAAGCTCTGCAGCCGGGGAGAAGCCGCCCCTCCTGTTTCTCCGTATGGATAAAACCTCCCCCAGTGGCTCCTGAGCGCGAACCGGCCTCCAGGGCACGAGGGAGCCCTGGAATAGGGAAGCGAACCCCGTCCCACCCTGCAGCTGGCATGCGGGGCCCGTGCGCGCTGGCACGTCGCAATGTGGCAATTGGGGCCCCAGCAGGAAGCCACGTGGCAGCCCCTGGCATGGCCAGTGCGTCCCAGCGGTGAGCAGGAGGCTGGGCCCGCCGCGGCCCTGATTTCGGGGTACCCTTGGCCTTGGGGGGCACATGAGCCTGCGCGGAAACAGGCCTTTCACTGCAAAGCTGGTGAGAGCCGCGCTGTAGCTCGCGGGGCTGCTGCGTGGATGGGGCCGGGCATCCCGGGAGCCTCGGCGGCAGCTCCGGCTGCTGGTGCTCCCGGCACGTTTGGGCATCTCGTCCCGGAGGAGCGCGGGTCTCGCCCAGGACATGCGGCAGGAGGAGGACGCCGGGGCGTCGCGCGCTGCGGGCTCGCGTCACCCTGTGCTGCCTGCCGGCTCCAGCTGTGATCCCAATCCGGAAGGTCGCCGAGGGGCCAGGCATTGCGTAAGGTGCAGGAATGAGTCCCAGTGTCACAAATCCTCATTGGGGGACACCCGTCCTGTGGCCGGAATCCAGCACCTGCCTCTCCCTGACCGCTTTCCACCCCAGCATGGGAGAGCGGCCGTGCGGCCGGACTCGGAACATCCCTCCATGCAGGAGCACACGCTGCCTTCCCGGGGCGGGAGCAGCTCTGGCAGCAGCTCCGCACGCGCTGGGCGGCGGGTGTCCAAGTTGCGCTTAGAGCACAGCTCCCTCCAGCCCTGGGCTCTGCATCCTCCGGGAAGGAGGAAAAGTGCGACGCGGGTCACTCCCCTGGGAGCGGGATGTGCCAGGACTCCCCAGCGCGGCCGCAGCGCCTGGCGGCCCCAGATAAGGAGGCGCGAGGGAAGGGGAGGCTGCGGGGCCGC